TGGATTATTGTGATGTTTTTATCAGCTGTTTGGATTCTCATTCTGACGGCACCCATTCACTGCAGAGCATCCATTGCTGAGACACTGATAACTGTTTTTTTAATCACTGTGCATTTCCTAAGAATAGAACCCATGACTTTGGCATTGCTAGCGCATTTTCATGGAGTGTGGCCAGGAAGCGTGTTTGTTTTTGAGAAGACAACTGTTGACACACACACACACACACACACACAAACTGGCTACACACAAACACTGTGTGTATCTCCCTGACAACATTATGCTTAACAATTTTGCACAAAAAAAAATGTATCTGCTGATGAGCCGGTTGTGTTTGTTTTGGGCCGGAGGGAGCTGTTCTCGAGTGAGTTCCCGTCCCATGGAAATGCGGAGCCCCAGGGAGGGAATATTTGGAATGCCAAGGCCATCGTTTCACTTGTTTGCTCTCTGTTCCTGAGGGCTTGAATGCAGGCGGGGATTAGAAAAGAGACATTACACGTTCGTTAAGGTAGGATTAGTCCGTCTTGTTATCCACGGCTTATTTTAATCTTAGGTGTCTGAGGTTTGAATGAGTACTGAACTTATTTTAGTAGCATCTGTGTGCTGATCTATTTATACCAGATTAAACAAATTAAACCAGATAGCCTGGTTTATTTTAGAAAAAAGCTGGTTAATCTCACACAAACCTTTTAAGAACACGTTCAAGTCATATTTCACCAAAAAAAAAAAAAATTTTTGTGCTAAAAAAAGAGAGACCTGTTTTTGTGTCTTTAATATTATTTGCATTGTGACGTTATTTTCTTGACAATTATGCATGAATTTGCCCTCTCCCAAATTGTAATCATTGAAAATATTTAAGAATTTTTTTTATAAATTATATTTTATTAAAAATATATATTTTATATTAATATTTACAATTATATATTTTATATTAATATTTAATTAGTAAAATTGTACAAAAAGTGCATATGAAGTCCCAACTACTATAATACATATAATTTATGCTATAATTTATTCTGATTTTAATTATAAAAAAAATTATTGTTCCCATTTATGATTCTCTTTACGGTTACTGTATTTTAAACGAATAAATAAATAAACAAATAAATGTATCGTTACTATATTTCACCTTTTTTAAGAAAACACACCAAAAACATTTTTTTTAGTCACATCTGTATCTTTAATATTATTTGGATTGTGATTTTTTTGACAATTCTGCATTAATTTGCCCCCTCACAAGTTTTAAGTACCGAAAGTATTGTTATTAATGTTTGAAGAAAAATAATTATATATATTATATTCAAAATTATATATTTTATATAAATTATTTATTTAAATAATAAAATTGTACAAAAATTCTCTCTCTCTCTCTCTCTCTATATATATATATATGAGGTTAGTACTATTATAAGTATGCAATGTAGTATTTGTTTTACTTCCTTTAATTGATGCTGGTTTTAATTATAAAAAAATTGTTGTTCCCAGTTATGATTTTCTTTACTGTTACTGTATTTAAAATAATGAGAATGAGATTTTTGTAATAAAAAATGTGCATAATCCTCGTTAAAATAATGTCACATTGCAAAAAACTAAAAAATCAAACAAAAAAAAACTTGTCTGAATGCTGTTGCATTGGATAGAAAAATATAAAAACTAGTGTCATTTTTCGGGGAAAAGCAGTTTGTAGAGTCTGAAATGATAAAGCAATAGATCTAGTGTTGAAATGATGTTATTGTGAAAAATATTGACACTTTCTGTGTTTGTGAAGCGTTAGGAAAGATGTTTTAACATTTGAGACATGCAGATGCAGACACTTCATTTGATAGCTGGTGGTTAACTTGTATAGATATGTTTGCTGTGATTTTTTGGTTGTTTTAGGACTTTTAAAGGAGAAAATATGTGAAAAGCGTGACTTTGTTTTTAACGTTTGTGATCAAAGCTGAATTTTCAGCATCATTACTCCAGTCTTCAGTCAATTCAGAAATCATTCTAATATGCTGATTTATTATCACTGATGTGTAAATATTTTAAACATTTAAATAAACATTTAAAAATAGTTTTGCTCTGGATTTTTGGGTTAGCAGTTTTAAATGAGAAAATGTGATTTAGATTTCCTTGAAAGCTGTTCTTGGGAAGCGTTTGCATCAGTTGTTTTTCCTGCTGTAATTGTTTCAGCCGGTCCCTTGAGTGACGGCTGTTGTAATCGAATCCGC